ACGTGCATATTCATGTTATAATCATAATCTAAAAGTTTCATGAAGATCGTACGTCTATAAAAAAAGTTATTAAACAATTAAGTTCTCATAGTAAGCGCACACTGCAGCCCATGCGTGTTTATGCGTGGTTGCTTGTATGTGTATGTGTTTGTGTATGTGTTTGTGTATGTGTGTGTGTATGTGTGTGTGTGTATGCGTTTGCGTCTGTATGCGTGTGTGTGTGTATGTGTGTCTGTATGCGTGTGTGTGTATGTATACCTGTGTGTGCGTACGTGCGTGTGTGTGTGTGTGTGCGTGTTTCTTGTGTAAGCTGAAAGTCGCGAAAAAGTATTGAAATATCTATTGCTCCAAGGGTTCAGGGGATCTCGTAGTCGAGCAGTCTCGACTAGAGCTTTCTTACTTGTTTTGTTCATGTTTAATAATCTTGAAGATAAGTCTCATGAATATAAAAAGATTGCTATAAGTTTTTTATTTTTAAGTTAAAAATAATTTAAGTGGAATAATAACGCTATGAAAGCACCTATGAAGAAGGTTTAAAACCCTAAAAAAAAAAGTTTCTTAATAAAATGGGGAAATACATCGATGCATCGAAGTCTTGAACCGATGTATAAACCCAACATCGATGCTTGACAACGAAAACATCGATGGGCATCGACATCGATGTTTTTACTCAAATTTACATCACTACCATCGATGGATTTGCAGCCCTAACTGCTTGATAAGCATAACGGTGTGCACTGTTCGGCTGGTAATTCTATTTTGATTCTGCTGCTAGCAGCTCAAGTTTAAGTGATGTGCTTATTAACAGTGCACTGTAGTGCGCATGGTGAGCTTGCGCTGTACGGTGCAGTGTTGCCAGGTTTTGAGACATAAAAATAGCAAAATCGTCTCTAAAAAATAGCTGAAAATAGCTAAACAAATTTTAAAATAGCTTACAAAATAGCTGAAACCTTTATGCATTATGCATTTACTTTAAATTTTATTTTTAAATGTTATTTAATAATGTTACAATTTGGTCCACATCCAAATCATCATCAGAATTATATTTTTGATTAACTGGAATCATTTTTAAATATTTGGAAGGCACGGTATAATCATGGCAGCATTTGCCATTGCTGCGCAAGAAGAATTAGCGATGGTATAAATTCACAACTAGTGATGGTATAAGTACGACAAAGTCGTGGTGGTAGTATCGCGCAGATCATTACGTACAATTTGGGACTTAATCGAAAAATGTTTTTATTTTTTTTATTTTTTTGCTTTAAATACTAAAATCAAATTCAAAATATTCGTTTGTAAAATGGCTAAATTTATAGCTAATAGCATTTTCAAAATTTTCATAGCATTTAGGGTTCAAAAATAGCTAAAAATGCTATTAAATAGCTAATCTGGCAACACTGGTACGGTGAAAAGTCACGATTGAGTGATAGTAGGTTATGCAAAGCGAACAGCTGATTTGGCAGCGTGACGTCATTATTTCAGAAAATGGTGGGCGCGCGTTTGAATTTGTATGAAAATCAAGCAATTTTGATACTGTTATTTGTCTTAAAACTAGTAGACTAAATAAAACGAGTTGGGCGGCTAATCACATGTTCTATATAGATTCACGAATCGGAAAATATAAAGGTTTTTGCTAATTTTTATACTCTAAATTGTTTTCTAAGCAGTTATTGATCATGCAATCCCTTGACCACTTTTACTCTTGCATATAATGGACTTAACCTTACTATCTAAGGCTTGAATTTGTAAAGCTAAAAAGTTACTACTAAGTATTATGCATTTCCCATCAATCCGCATAATCATACGTACTAATTTCATTCTTTATATTACAAATCTGATGGCCATAGATGATACGCAGCATTGTTAGCTTCTGTCTAAGTTTTAAGAGCTGATTCAGGAGGATTATGTGTTTCCTTAGGTTTCAATACTTATAATCATACAAGTTTACGACTTGGCAACTAATACACAAATATTAGTTCATTCTACCGGATGTTTCTGACATGACAGCAGGGGTGAGCAGCACCTTTTATTGATGCAGCTTCAACGTGTACTATATTTAAATGTGTAGGTAAATTGGCATAAATAAACAATACTGATGGCGAGAACCCAGTTAACTATGTCCATCAACCATTCCTGCTGACTTATTGGCCATTTTCGCTGCATTCGAGAGGCCTCCCAGTTCATTCCATTATATACTTAATTTCTTTATTGTATGGTAATAAAATTAGTGATTGACCATTTTTAAGGTATTTACTATTGAAATTTTTTATATATAGTTAGTTTTGGTTGTTTTGGACGACTTAGTCGATCTCTGCTGAAATGCCTTCCAAGCTTCAGCCGGGATAACATAGCAAAATCTGATAATGTGACGTCACAAGAGAGCTGTTAGTTAACATTAAAAGTAACGGGACTGCTCTTTGCGCAACCTACTGTGTCTTTTAACAGTGGTGAAAAGTAAGGCTGTCGCTCACGATTGAGTGATGTCTTTTAACAGTAGCTGTCGCTCTCACTTGTCTCAGACAAGTTGTCTGTGAGCGTGCGTGCGCGCGTGTGTTGGTGCTCGAGGTGAATAGAAGGTTTTGAGCGTTTGCAGTTGTATTTTTTTGTGCATGCGTTGTTCACGATTGAGTGGTAGCACTGACCAGTGATGATAGTGTGAGTCTTTTAACAGTGCTTGGTTGGAAGAAACGTCTGCAATGCACTATGGGGAAAAATCCAAATTATCGGGTATTAATTAATAACTTGAAAACTAAGCCAGATTTTTTGATCCGGTTTTTGTATTATTAATATGTATACGATCCGAAATATATTTTAGAAAAATGGGCGTGTCACCGCCCACCCAAAAAGAATTAATTAAAATTTTTTATTAAAAGAATTTTGTTTTTAAGAATTTTGCTTGTTTATACTTTAAAATAATAATTTTAATTGAAGAAAATCGAGCTTTCCTGAAATCGAAATTAGTTTTCTTCAATTTCGAGTTCCAGATCAGCCAGCGAGTTCCAGAAATCAACTGATTTAATTGTGCCTTCAACTTTACATAATACAAGACGTACAACTTCATTAGACAGCAACCTTTATGCTTTCAAACTCGTTTCTAAAGATTTGCCGAAGAAATAATCTGATCAGATGTATCCAAGGCATTGAAATCACAATTTATTGCTCTATAACATGCAATTGGAATTATACTTATGCGCCCATATGGCTGTTTTATATGTCTCTGCAAATTTTAATTTTATTCACAAGAAACGACATTTGACAACACTTGCTAATTTTACAAAAAATTAATAAAATATGTTTAAACAACAAATGTTATTTAAATCAACGCATAGTAGAAGCCCTCATAATTCATATTCTTTTTAAAATTCTCAAAAATTATGTCTGGTCATTGAATAACAACGATTTGAAAATCGGCTACCATAAATTGTAAGCTGAAGGCACATGCTTTTCGAAGAGAAGAGCTGACTTTAACAGCTGTTAGGCTTAACAGGTACTGTTATTCAACATTTTGGGTACAGTACCTTAAAGTTTGGAGTTTTATTAAGATGTTAACATAAATAAAGTTGCATACTTCGAAAAAATGACTAAATACCCGAAAAACGGCAAAATTCCTCATAGTGCAATTCTGTTGCGACTTATGTATATATGTACATATGTATGATTTTGTTGGTCTCAATAAACATAAGCTTATGTATTGCTGCCGATTGGTCTGTTTTCCGCCCATTCTGTAATAAGTTGCTAACACCGAAAGCAAGAAAATATGTGGAATATAACAGACTAGTAAGGCTCTATTAAATCAACTTAACTTTATTTTTGTCTGCTGTTTTGTCAGATTTACTAAAAGTTTTATTAAATATGCCAAAAACCTATACCCAAAAATTTCGCGATGTGTGGTTGAGTGTCGAGTTTAAAGAGTGGATTCGCAAGGATGCCCCAGACTCAACAAGGGCCTATTGCGCCTATTGCAATTGTACTATTGGCGCGAAGCTTTATGATGTGCGTCACCACGCTGCCACAAAAAACATATACATAAGTGCGATGGGTGCGTATACACAGAAAAACAAATTGCCTTTTGTTGCAAAATGTGGCAAGACGGAGGAGCATGAGGCTGCTAAAAACACTCAATGCTATTTTAAACATAACATTAGTTTCTATAAACATTTTTAATAAAAACTCTTTATACAAATTTATAAAAATCTTACAGATACAGATATGGATTAGATAGGTATGATAAATACTGCCATAATTATGACAACTCAAATTACGCTATTAATGATAATTGGACAACATTTTAACTATCATTTAAAGATTTAATCATAAATGAAAGTAATAATAAAATTTGGCAATTTCTTTTAGCAATTTAAATAAAGTTTTTAGCAATTTGAGCAACTTTTTTTTAAAATTCTAGCTATTCTTGCCCTCAAAATTCTGGTAGCACTGGTTGGTAGATGTGATGCACGTCGCCTCACAATCGTGGGTTCGAAAATCACCAATGTTGAGTGTTTATACTCATTCATAAAAGTGAAGCTTCCGATTTTAATCATCTATGGATGACTCAAAAAGAGTCGTTAAGGGCGTGGCACATCGAAAAATAACCTGTCGTTTTTCACATTTCACAGTGTCTATCTCCATTGGCGGCGTGGCAAATCGGGGAAACCTACATTTCTACAGTATTAGAGCTAGAAACTTTGCGACTGATTGCATCCTCTATTAATTTGCACAAAAGGAATACGATATTATAAATAAATTCAAACAGTCAACTAGAGTTTGTTTTACTATTTGAATACTAAAATGTAAATATGTATGTATATATATTCTTATTATAGAATTTTGTCGAGTACTATTAACATTATATATACATACATATATTATAAATTGATAAGTTCAACTAGGGTTTTGTTAGTATTTGACTACTAAAATATAAATATGTAAATATGTAAGATAAGAATTATGGACTCAATAGTGAACAATAATATTTATAAATTTATGTTATCGATATATTCTGTTCCTAGTCAAGCAGCTTTGTTCAGGCTGTCAATAAAAACTTTTACATTGTCGTAAATATTCATTGTACTAACATAAGCAGTATAAATATCTTTCCATTCTGGAAGTGTCTCTGAGCAATATAAGCAATTTCCCATTCCGGAAGCGTCTCAGAGAATATGGCAAAGCGGACTAATCTATTTTTCTTGTGGACTACATTGTTTATAGTATCTGTTTGTTTGGCAACCATTGTAGTATTCTCCGGATTTAATCACTCAATGGGTAAATTCAGATCAATGTTGGTGTCCCTACTCATTGTGCTTTTGGGTCACTTTCTATTCGGAGATCCCACCAGATTTCTAATACTTGCTAGCTTAGACGCTTTTTGGAGTCCAGAGAACCTGAAGTATGCAACAGTTGCTGAAGTTGGCCATCAAAAACAGTTAGATTATTTGAACTTGCGATTGAACAGTTTACGGGCCCATCTCTCAATACCGGAAAAGCATCGTAATGAAAAGCTGAACTCGCAGTACAGGGAGATAGTAAATGATTTATGGCTGTTTGGAAAGTATTTCCTGTTTATAATGTGTCTACTACTGTTCTTATCCGATGAGACTACGTATTACACTCGAAATCACATTAAGCGCCTTTTCACACACAATTATTCCAATTATTATGGCTTGAATGATGTGGCCGAATTGACAGGTGCCTATGATTTCATAAAATCTTCGCTTATTGATGGCTTTGCTATTAAACGAGATGAATTTCAGAATTCATGGATTCATAGCGAGCAGACTGCTTTGCTTGGAGTCGTTCGACTACGTCAATTGCGTGTGATTGATATGGAGCATGATAGAGTGAGTGACCCTCCTTTTTCAGAGAAATCGTATTTGCCTGGATGGAAATTACCATATCGGCGCTTTCCTTACGATGAAGTCTATTGGCGCATCTATGAACCGTGGGTATTCAAAAATCTGAATTTAAAACTAAACTTGCTAGTAGTGCAACAACATACAGGATATCTTCGCTCATATCCCAAGTTAAGTGGTTACATGTCGCTACTTGCGCGCAGTCAACAAAATAGTCACGTGATCGTAAGATTCCTACGCAAAAATAAGTGGCTCACTTACAATACATCGGTTCTATTTATGGAATTCGCATTGTATAGCGTTGATGCAAAATTATTAACTGTGTGCACACTGCATATAGAGCATACATCCTTTGGCACCATGATTTCTCATGTGAACGTAAATGCAATAAGCTCATTTGAAAAAGTTGACCATCTTACACACCTGACAATACTTTTTCTAATTCTGTATATCATAACGTTTGTAGACTTCGTTAAGGGGCTTGCGATCAAATTGTGGTTTGAACCGGCGCAAATTCGTTCATTTTGGAACAAAGTGGATGTTGCAATATTTGTGCTTAACATCCTCATATTAATAATGACTTTCATACGTGAGTCAAAAGTCACGAACATTTTTGACCATCTTGCAAATGACAGCAAAATGGAATTCATACAAGTATTAGAAGCAACTCACGTGCACTCGTTCACCGCAATACTTATTGGATTTCTCTTGTGTTTGATTACTCTTCGATTATGGAAGGCTCTCGAATTCTCCAATGTGTTCCAGATCTTCACACAAACCCTGTATTTGTCTTGGCGAGCGGTGGCATCTGTTGCTGTGGTCATTATCGTATTACTGTTGGGTTTTGCGATTGCGGTATCTACGTTTAATGGCAACAACAGCTTCAACTTCTCTCAATTTCGCCAGAGTATCATCACATGCACATGCTTCACCTTCGGATATACCAATGGTGTTAGTCCGGAAGAACTGTTTCATGGCGGCCAGTTCATTGGCGCTATATTTTTTTCGATCTTGGTATTCGTTATTTCGGTGATTTTGGTAAATATGTTCGTATCAATAATTAACGACTTTGTTTGCACTGCAAAACATCAAAGGGATATGATATCTGGTCGTCGCATCAACATATTTCAATTCATTTATGCCGAAATGAGAGTTTATGTTCTAAAGATAAAGCAATTGCCAAAGTTTCGTACACGTTATCGTCGGAATAATCGAACTGTTTCTGAAAACATAATGAGATCACTACAATCGATCAGAAATAAAAGGAAGAAATGGGAGGTTACCATTGCCAAGGCCTTTGTTGCAAAAAATACAATAAGTCCCCTTGATAATATTGTGGAGCATGCAGAAAGTAAATACAATCAGGAAAGAATCTATACAATTGGCGCTATATTGAATACTCAAATCGATATACTTCAAAATCTTTCGAATCATCATAAGCGTACACGTAGACAAAGTGAATGAAAAAATATAAAAAGGTTTGTTTTGTAATAAATTTAACAAGCATTTCATCTCGAATCATTTCAGAATATTTCATTTTTTATTTCATCTCACTGCTCAATGTCAAGTTATTTCATAATTAATTTCTCATTGTTGAAGAAATTATCACACAAAAGTAAATGTAAAGCAAAGTACATATGATAGAATGGACGAGTCGATGGTTAAGGGTGTATCCCAGTCGAGTATAGCCGCTAAGAACATGAATGTCCTTACTCCTCCAAACTTCAAACGGGAAGGACTAAAAAAGGCGGTTTATCACTCACAGTTAAATTATTAAAATAAGGAAATGCGGGAAAGAATCCTTAAATATAATATTATTATTGATTAAAATATTTGTGTATTGTACGTATGCCACTTGGCCACTTTTATTAATACATATTTATATATAATATTATTAGGAATTTAAATAAATAAAAATTGAAATGCATAAGTGCGCATTTTGTATGGAATAATAAATTTTTTTACATTTGTTTTTATTTATTTTTTTCTAAAATTTAATTTTTCTAAGCTTCCAATATTGTAAATTCTAATATTTGGCTTATACGTTGTTAACTATTTAATAGCATTTCCAAATTGTTGCTTAATGTTCCATTGCAATTAAACTTACTTTTCATTTTTGTCAAGTTAATAATAATTTAGAATTTCATGCACAGTAGAGCGAGAACTTTTTATATATTCCTTAAAGTTAGTTTTAAATTTGTATTTTTATTTGTATCATTTAACTCGCACCACCCTAAAATTACATATAAATATATATTTATAGGAAACGGAAAAAATTTATATTTTATATTTATAATCAATTCAAATTGTTAAGAATCTTATATTTCGAATATTAAAACCAAATAACAAAGTCACAGACCCCAAAGTTTATTTACTGTGACTTTGGCATTTTAGTAATATTTGATATAAATATTCAAAATAATATATTTAATCAGAAATCTATTTTTTTTTTCTATATTTTCTTTTTATTTGCGCAGAACAATTAACTTACTCGTTTACATTTTATATGTTATATTTTTAAGGAAGTACTTTAGATTACATTGCGTCTGTGATTTGCAAAAATATTCAAGTTCTGTTGAGATGGATGCCATTTCTACTATATAATATATAATTATTGGTGATTAGAAATGTTATACTTTAAACCATATAATATTATTATTTTAGATTAATATATATATTTCTTTAGGTTGTTCTTAGGTTAGCATCTGCTTTGAGTGCAATTTTTAGTTTCTAAATGTCTATAGTCTAACAATTTTTCCTCTTAATTTGTTTTTTTTTTTTCTAATTTCCAATCAGATATTTCAGCTTATTTGGAAGCTCAGCTATCAATCGAAAATAACACGAGGCCGAGCAGAACAATAGTAAGAGTTATATATTAACTATGATGTTCACTCTACGAAGCTTTATTCATTAAAATCTTTATAAATTGGTATATCCTAAAAATCTTGATTTGGGAAGACAGTTAAAGTTAACTTAAGGTTGCTTCAATCATTTAGTAACTCAAAAATAGTAAAGTAAATATTGAAAGAAAGTTTTAAATAATATTTAGTAAAGATTTGTTTCTTAGGTCCCATTTACAAAATTTGTTTTTGGAAACAATAATAGCGAAACGTAATTTTTGTTAGACACATGCATAAACCTAGGTCGAAAGTTACAGTTGGAATTGAAAGTTTTCTTATGCTTAAAACTATTAAATTGGAAATAAATGATCTTGAATTCAATACTAAAATTCCGAAAAAGTCATCTAAAATAACCACATGATAATTGGCAGAGAGACCAAGAATATAGAGGCTTTCATCAGGCCACTCGAATTACAACCGTCTTCTTTGCAGCAATATGTTTGGGTTTCCCAAATTTCTGTAAGCAAATCGTAGTTGATAATTAATATTAATTTTTAAAATGATAAGGATACGTAGCTATTAAAACTGTATGGTAATAGTAATCTTATTGTTGCATATAACTAGATAGCTCTGTATTATTTTTAAAGGTCTCCCAAAAGCAATTCCAATTTTCGTTCCAAAGGGAAACAGTTCTTTATGAATTTAGGTAGCCATCGATATTTTTGCTACTTGAGTTGAGAAATTATATATATTGGACGGATACTGCAATTTACGAATACTCTTGTATTCCTGGTATCTGATCGCTACATTCTCAATAGTTATTTGCTAAATCCATTGAAAAATACATAATATTTCCCCTTAGAGCGTATGTGTGAGGTAGTAAAAATATTTATCCGGCACATCGACTCTGCTTATCCATTTAATACGTGATGTATTTACTCTATTTGGCCAATTTTTAATGCGATCATAAAAGTTGATAGTTTTAAAAACCCCATTTATGGCATTTAAAAGTTCTTAGTCGTTAAAGAACGTAATTTCATTGCAAGCTGTAAAATTGTCTCATGGCAAAAATATGTCAGTTGATAGTCTCTGAAAGCGATGTAGGCTGATATTTATCGGTTATGTCAGGCGTGATATGTATTTACAATATAACTTGGCATCTATGAATAAAAATAACCCACCTTTCTCGACGCACTCAGTAGCACAATCTCGTACAGTCGACAGTTCGCTGACATATTTCTGAAAAAAGCAAATAAAGAAAGTGACATTTAAATGGACGCGAAAAGCTGCAATTATTTAATGTGTAAATAATTTACATTTATAAACTAGTCAGCCTTTATTTGCCAATCGGTTTGTTTGCCGAGCTTGGGGATATTGATTAACTAGATATATAATTTTCATTGGGAATATAATTGAACGAGAAGGCTGGCCCAATCGGGAGTGCTCGACTAGGGGGATACTTTGAGCTCTGAGTACTCATACACACACACACCCACACACACAATATATTCAAATCTCTTAAATCGATACCATTCATTAGCAGCAAATGTTCAGAAATTGTTGGCATATTTGTCGTATAACAGATTTGATTGCCTTAATTCTGTTGCAGAAAATGTTGCTCTTATGGAAAATGTGAAAATAACAATACGAAAATGGATGACATGCGCTGACCTCGACCCCGTTGTGTTGAGCACTCTAAAACAACGAACAGCATAACAAAAGTTTTGCTTATTTGTGTGTCGACCGCTTTTTAATTTACAGCCATCAAATAAATGAAAATTATATGCGAATCTCTGATAATTATATGTATAAACAAATGCAGACAAACACATAACTGTGTAGTATGTAATCCCATATAGAGAGAGTGATAGAGAGAAGGAGGGAAACTAGCTGGCTTTTATATACATATTATATGTCAGTGCGGTTAGTGCAATTAATTTCACACTTAATTTGCCATGCACCAGCAATTTCAATAGAGACAAACCCATTAATTCTTAATGCTATTAATTTATTACTGTATAATATTGTTTCAACGGAAATTCAAACAAATTCATTTGGTTTGCAATTATGGTTATGGTTGATCTGAAATATTCTATTTTAACTAATCTAATCCATTAATCATATAAACACTTATATTTATTTGTCTAGAATTCCCGACCATAAGATACCCAGATCGACCTGTAAATCCTGCTTTGTGCTTTTTTTAATATTCAGGATTTATAGAAATCATAAGTCATAGTCATATTTTATTTAAAATAATATGTGCCAAAAAATTTCGTGAAACTATCTAAAATCTGATTTTTGCTACAAACTTGAACTTTAGAAATTATACTCGCATTAGTAGCCCAAGCTCAAAACAAGTACGAAGGCTCCAGTCGAGACTGCTCGACTAGGAGATACCCTGAACCCTCTAAGCTCATATTCTAATCATTCTGCACTTCTTTTATGCACACATACATACACATGCATCCACACGCACGCACAAGCCTGCGCTCTGCTAACTGCGCAGTAAGCAGCGACTGCGATTGGGCTGCGCTGCAATGTGGGCAATATTATGAGAATTTATTTGTTGAATAATTTCTTTTGTAGACATACGATCTTAATGAAACTTTTAGAGGGTAATCATATGGTGAATATATGTGTACATTCCAAAGCACAAGTCTCTAGTACTTGAAATGCGTTTCCAATTTGGGAGAGAAGGGGGCGTGGTATCCAAAATCTGTAAATCACAAAATCTTTGTATCGATTAACTTTATATAAAACGCAAATTTGAAGACTTCAGGTCTAAAAGTGTTCAAATTAGGCTTAAAAACAAAGTCAATTTTTCGATTATTCTCGATAAAAAAGTTATCGGATGATTTATCGAAAAAATAAAGCAAACTCGTACTGCGTATGGTACACACGAGTATGCATGCTCTCTAGCTCTTATAACTTCTGAGATCGACGCACTCATACGGACGGACGGACAGACGGACAGGGCTATATCGACTCAGCTTGTCGCGCTGATCAAGAATACATATACTTTGTGGGGTCTGCCACGCCTCCTTCTGCCCGTTACATACTTTTTCACAAAACCATTATACCCTGATTTCCCATTTTCAATGGGTTCAGGGTATAAAAATATGGCGGATATATTAACACCTATGTAGGGCATACAAAAACGTAAAAAATGCGCTCCAGGCGAGACATGTTAATTTGAAAGGGCAGTCGGTAAGGGTGGACTTACTTGAAATTGAGCCAAAATCTAGATTTAATATTTGCTTTTTACTCCAAGACTTATGTTGTAATAAAGAAATATATGTATGTAAATATGCCAACTACAATTCCAATATGTAAGTATTTCATTCAGGACACAAACACATAACCGAAGGCCATATATCGCCTGTAGTGCCAATTCTTAAGCTGATTTAGATGTAATTGCTAGATTGTGATAGGTAAACAAATAAAAAATTCATTTTACGAATCAGAGCTGAGCCCATGGCAAGAAAGCGCTCCCATGCAGTTAAACACATTGAGCTCTGCTGTGCTCTACACGTGTTCACACGAATACTATGAGAGAGAGATAGAGAGAGAAAGATAGATAGAGAGAGTGAGACGGAGCCGCCCTTCTGACGGCTTATGCAGCACTTAACCCGCTTAATCGATTGCGTCGAGGTAGCGGGGAGGGATGGACCTGATACGTCAGGGCTTGCAACTGGCCGCATCGAAAACGCAAAGCCCTCTGCAATGGTCTTTTGGTCCTTTGGTCCTTCTGTCTGCTGGGTGGCACTTAACAACTTTCCGTGTGCTAATGCCATGTGCTCCTTGAGCTTTATGATATCTGCAGCTGGCAGTCAAGCGAGAACATGCCAAGTGTGTTCCTATGTATGTTGCTAATGTGTATAGACATTGTGTGGCTTATTATGTTACGTCACTAATGCGTTTGTCTTGCTGCCAGCTGATAAATGGTCCCATTGCGTTTGTCAATTATTCAGTTTACGGGTATAATTGTACGCCTATCCTCATTCCATTTGTCTGCATTAAATAGGAAAACACTGTTAGGCTGGTGATTTGTCAAATTTAACACAGTATGTGAAATAGCAAATGAGCTGAAATTAGGTAGGTTCCCTAACACAACTATACAACATCATATTGTATAGGAGTCTATTAGGTTCTTCAGACGGAGTCATGAGTTACTTTAATAATACATATTTTCTAAATTATAGAGACTGAAAGTTATTTATATAAATCTCAAAAAGAAAATAGAGCGTAACCGCATATACTGAGTATATACGTAGTATGAATTTATCATTTTTTTGCAATAACTTATCCCAATTTCATATTTTCGTTAAATATGGATAATTTATTTATTTTTATACTCATTCACGAAAGTGAATTAGTATATTGGTTTTGTGCAATGTCCGTCATGCCGTCCGTCCGTCCGTCTATCCGTCTGTCCGTATGAACGCAATCTATTTCGCCGCTATTAAAGCTAGAGATTTATAAAGTGTTAAAATTTTCCCGATCCGCCCACTAGGGGCGTGGCAAATCAGAAAATGCATTTTCCAATACGCCAGAAATCAGAAAGCTAGAAAGCTGAAATTTGGAATGTAGATCCGCGTCGACCACCCTAGATCACGAGCTATGACGAATATATCTCCGCCCATTGGGGGCGTGGCAAATCGTCTAAAAATTATAAGTCTACGCCCATTAGAGGCGTGGCCCATCGGACCTGAAGATATAGTGATATTTTAAATTTAAATAAAATTTATGCCAGAGACCTCAAATTTTGTGTATATACTCGGGTTGATCACCCAGGACCAAAAAGTTTTGTCGGATATATGTATGTCCGCCCACAATGGCGTGGCAAGCCGCAAAAGTTGATATAATAGCTAGAAGTTTAAAATTTAGATAGTTAAGTTACCAGTAATCTCCTCTATCGAGGACCCAAAAATAATTTTTAAGCCTCTTTAGGGGCGTGGCATATCGAAAAATACCCTGTAATTTCACATTTTTGAGGGTAAGCATTCAAACTTTGCAGTTAGGGTACCGTTATCACGTTCTAAGAACTGACCAAAAAGTGGAGTGTCTACGCCCAGTAGACGCCAGGGCGTGGCAAATCGGAAAAAACTGTATTTTCTACAGTATTAGAGCGAAACTTAACTACATGTGAATGAGTATTCCACAGTCGGTAGCGCCCGACTGCAACGTTCTTACTTGTTTATTTTTTATTTTGACTATAACTCTAATACTACTAAAATTTAAATTTCTATTTCTATTTTCATTTCCTCTATTCTCTCTTAACATCCTTTCTCTTTCTCCCTTAATGGATGGATATCCCTCGCGATCACTCTTTCGAGAACTACTATTAAAATTTTGAACCTCATCTAGTTTAAAGAGCTCAACAACAGCCAAAAATATTCAAAACAGCTCAATAGTTCCATGTACCTCAATTTAATCTAACGCGAAAGTTTCTGAGCTAAACTGCGTTTATATGTTGTTATTTATTATATATGCTCATACTATAATATTTCGATTTGCACTTTGGCATACAAATGTTAAGATGTGATTTAAAAATGTTTTCCTATTTATTTGTTAGATTTGAGCATTTATGCCACTATATTAACAAATTTCACATTCATAACGTGTCTCTGGCTATCCAAAGTTTCAATAGCCTTTAGTTCACACTTCAGTTTCCACATTCAGTGCACACGGAAGGCAGTCAACTCTAAGAAAGGTGCGCTGCAAAGGATATTTGTCAGGTTTCTCTGGCTGCTGCCCATTATCAAATGCAATTTCATCAATGCACCCAAAAACTCAACTTGAAAGTATGCCTGAAATTTGATTTTCTTTGTGTGTCTGTATGTGTGTGTGCACTATATTGTGCACTTTCCATATAGTCGACGCTTTCAAGCAGAACTCGGTTGACGAGCAGTTGTCAAGTCTGCCAGCCGACAGCTTCCATTCGGCCCATACACTACAAGTTCATACATATAATATTTTGCAAGTGCAATTTGTTGTAACACGCCCACACAAACAAATAACATCAATATACTTATGTATATATGGAATAAAAGTGCGCTACTCACTCGTCCTCTCTCCCTGTCTCTCGCTCTCTCTCTCTCTCTCCTCTGTCTCTCTCACTCATTCACTTAGTCACTCCATACTTTGGGATGCTGCAAGGCAGCAGAGGTAATATGATTACCAAAAAATGCCAAAAGCCGAGCAGCCTTTGGCCATGCCGTAGACGTAATGCAATAAACTGATTTTTGTTACCAGCTGCAACGATTGTCCGCACTTATCTAGCACCCAAGCAGCAGCCGCCAGCCGCCAGCAATCGAGAATGGATAGAATTATTTCAATTTGCATCGGGCACCACTAGTTTAATGAAGTGGCAAAATATACTCAAAAACAAGACAAAATCATATATTTAATAGAAGACAGCTTGGAAGCTTTATAACTCTCTTGCAAATTATATAAAGAAGACACTAATAAAATTTTTACTACTAAGACTGTCGAGTAACTAGTTGATATGTCATATTACTGTGACGAGGAATCTATTCTTATATGAACCCATCATAGTTATTCTTCTACTCTATAAGAAATCCATTATTAGAATGACATATTGTTCCTACTTATTGTTTAATCTCATTCAAATTAATGGAACAAATAGAACACCAAACTTTTATCTTTAACAAAGGGAAGACGTATCAAAAAAATAAAATGCGCATAGAATGACCACAAGTTATCTGTACATTACTCATACTAAAAAAAAATAAAGAAAAAAAAAATCTCTCTTTAAACTAACTTAATACTGTTCCAACAATTGAATCAATTTATATATATTTTTTATCTTTTACATCCAATTTATTATATATATTATTATAAAGATATAGTATGACTAAATGACTCACTTCAGCTAAGTGAGACTTATGGGTAGATTCAAGTAAATGGTATAGTTACACAGTAAGACACTTTGAATGATATCGAGAAACTGGAAAAAGGTTTTGATATTTAGATACAAAGTTGATATAGGTGAGAAATAGAGCTGTTTAAAATATAACAAAATATTCAGTATTATCTCTACACGGTCAGCCATGCAGTCAAACGAAGATATGAATCGATTTGGCTTTGAATAATAATTTAGAATAAATATATATATCGTACGCTTGTTACATAGCTTCAAACAAAAAGTGCTCCCATTTTTAACTGGCTTTAAAGCAGGCATAGATATTTAGTATTAAATAATATACAAATATTATTAAATATGGATCTTAAATTTGTCCTTTGGAGCCTTCTCATATGCAATGTTCACTCGATTTCGAACTCAACGGATCGTTGCTCTCCGGAGTACTGCAACTTCGCCGGTGAATGTACACTAGTAAACAGGAAACCAAATTGCACCTGCTATGACGAGGCCTTTCAAGGCAAATATTGTGAAAAAGTCAAGGATCTGTGCGCAACGTCCAAAAATACATGCACGGGCACACAGATTTGTGTGCCCTATGTGGGTCAAATAGTTTGCGTTTGTCGGCCTGAAATTAGATCACAGGATTGCGATCTCGCCAAGCCTCTGTGCAGCTACAATGTGCAGGTGAACTATGGAGTGGAGGAGCCAATTGTTCTGAGCTTTGCATATCACAGCCCCGAGCCCTTGCGAATAATAGTATCTTCAGAAAACAATTTAATTGCCCGCTCACGATCACCTATGAAAGGTCAATATACGCGCAACCTGACCGCCACTCTACATGAATTGGGTATAAGACGACATATCAAGCCACCGTACGACGATGCTTTCTATTACGTATTTAAAACAAAGCACACCATTCCGGGCGCCAATCTATTGAATGTGACTATCGAGTCGAAAAGCAGAAATAAGATGGACTATAGTATGATATCCCTATCGCTACCCGTACATGTAAGGACAAATTTCTGCATACCTCGCGTTGTGTTCCAACACTGCATGGATCCACATAATCCCAGGAAAGTTGATTCCGAACAATTTTGCAACTTGCAAGCAATCATGGAGGATCGGTGCTTGCATTCCAAACCCATTCTGCAGGTCCAGTGGGCAGTTTACAAGTACGAGGAACACAGTAAGAAACTCACCCTTTTATATAGCAACTGAAACTTAAGTATTCTTATAACAGCTGACACCTATATGCTAAAGGAAGATGATCAGTTGTTGTTTAAGATACCGCACTATTTCTTGTGGAGACCATCTCTTCTGCGTTCCTATCCCGATCTCTTAGTTGAGGTGCAGCTTTCAGTCAAGGAGCAGGGCGGGCCCTGGGTATTCACCAAAGTAAGCGACCTCATCAACAATCAAACATATTTTTGATTGATATTCATTTGTAGTGTTATCTAAATGTGACGGCGCGGAATGTGGTTGCTAAAATAGCCGGCGGTGATTATAGAGAAGTCAGTACCAGTAGCCCATGGCTGACGCTTGATGGCTCTAGCAGTATTGAGCCCGGACAGAATATAAACCATACTCAGGAGCTAACATATACCTGGAGCGTGGAATTCCATGGGGAAGATGAAGAGGTATATCTATCCAAAGATAGTCCCGGTAAGTACGCATATGAAAGAGATCTCGCGAACGACTCACTAATGCACTTATAGAACCAAATTTAACAATTTCGATGTCAGTTCTGAAAACTAAAATAAGTACAATTACCTTGCAAGTTACAAACAAATTTGTAAAAGTGCGCACCGCCAAAGCTAAACAGGTTATTGTATTAATCGACAATAGAGAACCATTCCATTTAGAAATAGAATGTCTCAGGAATTGCAAAGGCAATTTTGTTGCTGCCGATCAAGTGATACACTTGCGTTCTGTATGCACCACTTGCCTGCCACCTATTTCGAACACCTGGTATCTGAGTGCTCTGACTCATCCGGTGCACAATAAAAGACACTTGATAATGCGCGTAGACAATGATATGCTTGTCGGCGACAAACTAACTGTTGAAGTGATAGTCAAGGATAACGGTGGCAACGTCGGGAATACAGGCATGAGACTCAAAAGGTCGTACCCACCACGAGGCGGCATATGCAAAATTGAGCCAAAAGTCGGCAAGGAATGCACCACCAAGTTCCATATATCTTGCCTAAATTTTACTACACAGATTGAAGAGCCGCTCCTGTATACCTTTAAAATGGGCAACTTGTATGTCGAAAGAACCAATTCGCCAGAAACGTTTCTTTACCTAAATAGGGAAGGTACACTGACTGCTCACATATGTAGCTACCATTTCGGTTGCACAGTTGTCGATTTACCCGTTGTGATTGACGACTCAAACTCCAATAATGTGCCCGACTTGAATGTAATGTTGGCGGAGGGACGTAGGCAGCAGGCGTTCTGCTTCATGCAACTGGTTTCCCATAAACCAGAAAATATGATCCATTTCGTGGATGCAGATATCAGCTGGGGAGATAAGGATTCGGCTACAATCTTGGAAATGGTGAACACTCTTGAGATTGCGGAAAATTGCATTTCAGCTTTGAAGTCATTAAAGAACCCTGAAGTTCGAGTTGTTTCTCATACTATGCGCAAAGTGGCATATATTTTTGATTTTGTTAGCACGGATACCGAAGCACTCGATTTGACTGAGGCCATTTGGTTTGATATGGTCAAGAGTTTAACCCACATGATTACATTTTGCATGATCCCTGATTTGGAAATCTTGAAACTAAATTCGTTTCTCTTGGTGCCTAATACTAAGGATAAAGAAGTCTATATCGATTGGATGGACTTTAATCACCATGTTGCCATGCGAATGAATCACATTGTTTCAATTGTAAAGGGGATCTTTATATTGTGGCGTAATATTGGACAGCACTTGGCTCAATTCATTCAACCGGGAGAAACTTTAAATTATATCCTAAATGATGTTAGCTTCAAAGCCGAAATGTTTGATAAATTTACGCCGATCCAATTTATATCAAACGGCACAAATTGTTATATAAAATCACCTTTGAAAACAACTGCATTCCTCCGCAAGCTGCTTAACACTAATAGTCTACTAATTTATAGTTGGTGCCTCAAGTCCGATGTATTGTGGTGGGTGCCAGGGATAAGTCCACCGAATTCCGCCTCTATGGCCATCAATATTTTTGGCCGTAATATGCATACCAACGACTTAACAGCATTGCCAAATGATTTCGCTTCGTATAGTATAGGCTTGAGACGCCATTTGAACACCACAAATTATTATTACCAGGACTCGAATGAGGTTCTTTACCATGCGATAATTTATTCAGTAAAACTACAGAGTAAGGCGAATCTGGTAGTCCAACTTTGGCAAACTTCAGTAGATTTTCGGGTACTAATTACAATGCATGTTAAACCGGTGCTGCGCAACATTTACGATAAAAGTTACTACGTGCCAAAAGGCTCTCTCAAGAAGACAATTATTTTGAATAATCTTTGCCCGCAGGAGAATACAGCCTACATTGCGATATATAGGGCTGAGCCCAATGCTTTAGAGCCAGCTAACTTCACAGTGCGCATTCGTTCACAGCAGTGCAACGTATTCGATTTGTCCAAAGATAACCCGACTTGGCAGAAATTTGATTGCAGTCTCAAGACCATAACACGGAATCGTAGCTTCTCGCAGTGCCATGTGCACTATCTATCCGTCTTTTCCGCCACGGCGTATAAGGTCGAGCCATTTGAGATCCAACAAATTGCCAATGAGATATTCGTTCCCCCCGTTTGCAGCCTTGCCGTGATATTTTTCTGTTCAATGATTTTAGGAGTTGTGGCCCTATTGTTGTTGGCCACTCTACGAGCACGCTACAGGAGAAAGAATTTAATTCGAGTCATGAAATCCAGACAAGATGAGGTAGACCCAAGTGCAGAGAATGTCATTGTGCATTTGCGGACGGGCGGTGGCCTATTAAGCTTTACAACAGCGAATGTTACACTCGAATTTGTATCTGACCTAGGACGCTACAAAGTTGTTATATATCAGAATCCTGTAAATCCGCATTTGGGATTAGGCACTTCGCGTATGATAAGGCTGAGTGACAGAAAGGTCCAATTGCCCTGTCGATTGACAATTAGTCACGATCTCTCCGGTAGATATCCGTCGTGGTACTGTCGATCCATTCAAGTGGATGATTTGCGGAACGATCTAAGCTACACATTCCCGTTACATTGCTGGATACGACATGATCAAAAGGTAATAGTCTCATGCTATCCGATGGAAAAGAAAAAGATTATTCATAAATTGCATAAGATAAAGCCAATCGAAGGATTTTTGCTATTCCTACGAAGATTTCGATTTTATAGTCGACTTCATTTTACGGACTGGTTCATTCTGCAACCCATTTTCGGACCCTGGCGCTACACCGATGCCTCTCTCAACGCATACCAACGCACCTGTATATTCATATGCAAAGTGATTATTACGATCACCGTCGTATTCTGTTTTTACAGGAACAGTACTATTTACAACAGATACAAATTCCATAAATACTTTAAATTATTAGATATAAATGATATTTTAGCACTTTTCATCGGCAGTTACATGTTGGTGATATTTTTAAATTTCTGCCTGGACCATTTATCACTACCCTAGAATTATTCAAGAATTCAGCTGTGGGGCACATACCAATTTTTCTACGGATCCTTAATTATTAAAGTTTATATATTTCACTACACTGCTATAATTGGAGCTCTTTGATAAACGAAAGATTTTTTTCTGCAAATTTGATTATTAGATGGCCTCCAACTGTTAGTATTTTAATGACCTATCAAAACTATTCTCTGGTATCTTATCTAAATAAATAAATTGCAATTTAAAATTTAAAATGCACATATTTTGAAAAAGTTAAAAGCTCGGCTAATCTCTTGATTTGTACGACTCGGATTGTAGTATTCCATAAACTTGGCTCAAATATTTTAGGTCGGTGGTACCCATTGGTATATAGGAAATGTTTTCAGCTTAAAGTTTATTACGTGTACATCCTGGTGGAGCTTTAGCTGCCAGCTTGGACAATACGTATTTTTGGGGCAGCTGCAGCCGATGCCGTAAAAGAGCCACGTAAACGAAAATTCCGCGCCATAAATCACGTGTAAACATTTCAAGGTTTTGCTTTTCCTTTTGCCTGCCTTTGCTCGATGGCGAAACCCGAGCTCGGAAAAAATACAGCCCAGCAAAAAAATGCTGCTGAAATGTGCTGCGAAATGGTTGCGTAACCGACAGGCTTAGACAACAAAACCTAAAGGCGGCTGCAGCCTCGGAAAAGTGAAGTCACAAAAACAAAAACCCACGACACAAATCAGCAGCTCTAAATTGGACGTCAACATGGCTTTGATTGCCTCCTATATGCGCGTATGTGTATCTCAGTGAGTGAATGAGTATGTGTGTGTGTGTGGATAATAACATCAGTGCTTGATGGCCACTTAAAGGAAACGAGGTGAGAGCAAATCCGAAAGCAAACTGACCAACACAGATACCCAGTTGCCAGATATCTACTGGCAATTCGAACAAGCATCCCAGCCGAGCGATATGTTAGCTCTTATGCACATACATACATACACACTCAAATGAATCAGCAGTCGGCTACTGTTGGCTTAAAGCGCAGATTTCGACAATATACCAGCTTGTCATTCACAAGCATGTGTAAAATGCCGTCGTGTGGTCGAAGGTGACAACTGACAGCCGCCATCCGGTTGCCTCCAGGCCCCACATGGCCAGGCCAAGCCAAGCTGGCCAGTACCTGTCACAGATCTCGATTTGAAGACTTAAAGTGTTTTGCCTGGCACCCAGCAAATGGCATTTGCAATGCCTGCAACCTACATTTGCCTGTCATGCAAAGAGCAACGAAAATGAGACTCTGTATGCCTCGGCAGTGGGCCTGTTGTAGCCGTTGAGTGTTAAATCGTTTTGCTGTTCTGCTCTTTTTACATGCCCTGTACGCTGCACCAGTGAGAAGTGTATAAAGCCGAGTCCCAGCGACTGTAATAAACAGAGAAAGGCATCTACATACACGCGGCCTTATAGATAGTGTGTGAGACTAGGTGCATTCATACCGAGGTTGAATGAAATACGCATATTTGAAATCATTTTTTTTAAGTTTACATTTTTCATATATTTCTTTGCGCTCACATATGGTTTCATACATCATCTGGCTTCATTCATAGGCAGCTCTGGCTCTTAAATAAAAACAAATTGATTTTTAAATAGGAATGTATGCTAAGGAGACAATTTTCCGATAGCTAAAGACAGCCGAATCACGCTGAGGGTTAACGCATATTATTAATGCATGACTCGGCAATTGAGGTGTCAAAAGCTCATTAACTGGGTTCGGAACATGATTTTTATTTGGATCAAATTAAAGAATATGTGGAAGTAATTAAAGATTCACTTTAGTCCGATGAGAATCAACTTTTACCCAGACGGGACTCGAATCGCAATGTAGGGAGTTGTATTTTTGTCGCTCGAATGTTGCCTTCTACCTGTAGTACAACATTCATTTGATTTGCATGTATTGAATCCAAGAGCTCAAAATAAAATTGGAAAGTAAAAAATATTTTACGTCTGAAATATTCTCCTACCTTGCTTTGATTTATAATTTATTTAATCTAAAGGTTTCGTAATTATTTATCGCTAATCGGGTATGTATCGATTAATTTCACATTTATGAAAAATCACCAGGGACCTAAGAAAGGTGAAAGTATTTTTGCTTGGACTCATAATATAAATATAAATATTCATAGTAGAGGATACTTTCAAGTCAAGCACTGCCCGACTAGGGCTTTTCCACTTGTTCAGCATACATTTTTCATTTTTTATGGCAAAAGGCATTGGGATGCGAGTTGTTTCGCATTTCACGATTTTATGCACTGTCGCCCCACCGCTGGATGTGGGGAGGTGGATGTGGAAAATCTTTTGAGCGCGTTTCGGCCGTTTAATCAATTTAGTTGCGCTCATTTTCACCATTTCGCGCTCCGACAAAGTTAAAGGGTAGCAGCTGCTGCACACAAAGACAAAAGAGGCTTCAAGTAAATGTATGCAGATGTGCACATGAAACATGCAGCTGGAAGGCAGTTTAAACGGTAAAACCCCATTCAGTATATGAGTATAAATGTAAGTACAGTTTAGTTTTGCGTATGCTATATTTAAATTAATAGAAAATTCCAATGGATAAACTACAGCTGTTGTGAATCAAGAGCTCGCCCAACTATAAAAGATCTGATTGAGCTTAATTATTAAGTTCAATGAAGCTCAAATGTATCGCTTACCGAATTCTCTAAAGTTGCCCTGAGATATATGAAAAACAATCCGCGAAAACGTGGTCAAAGCATGTGAGAGAAAAAAGACAGAGAATTTTCTCCAAGGCTTTAAGTATGTTACTTAACGAAACGCTCTTCTTAAATGGCTGTTACTATAGCTCAACTGAAACTCAATATAAAGACTGCTATTTACCTCTGCTTTCAAATGCAGAATCACGTGGATTGTGGGTTATATACAAATTTTAAATAGTTAAGGCTGCGAACTTTCGTTGCATAAATTTATATACATTATTTCTCTTTGTGTTAACCTGACGTAACAGCTCCGTGTTGCATGAAGAATGCCGAAATATCTATTCAGCATACAAGCTGTGGCCATGTAGCAGGCTTGCAAAGCAGGAGACGGTCAGGCGGGCAGGCAGGAGAGCAGGCGGTCTGGCTCTGCTCTGCTTTGTTTGAATAAGGCCTTTTGACAGCTTGGCTGTTATTATTTTGGTTTAACAATATACATATGCATATACATATATCTTGAAAGAGATGAAACTATCCTACAACATATATATATGTATTATACACAAGCAAATACCAAATGTCAGCTTGTAAATTTATAAAATGTAAACTAATTCTAGCCTAGAGATAGACATATATATAAATTCTAATTAAGATATTAATAAGTACCAAAGCATCTCGCCTTTGCATTCCACAAACAATCTGCATATTTCCATTCTATATGAGTCTGCTTTAAAGTTATGCAAAATTTAAAGTTTGAATAACTAAAATCGAATATTATTGCATAAACCGTTTCGTCTCTGGAGACGTCATCAGTTTCTAATTTGAATGATTGATTGCAGAACACAAACAATTTATTCTATTGCTCTGACCTTTCTGACACCTTGATGATTAATAGACAATTTGCACCTGAAAAACCATGGCAAATATCATATAGATAAGTAAATATTATGAAAGTATTCTTTTTTCATTATTAAATGCCTGACTAATCCCGACTTATAGAAAACAAGCAATTAGACAACAATTCCGAGTGGCTAATGGCTAATTATCTGGAAAACAAAGGCAACTCCAACCTGCGGGAAAGATTAGCTTTTACTTAAATTAAAACGCAGTTCCTAAGAAACGGAATCGCCAGTGTAAGCTAAGCCTCTGAAGTAACTGTTCCATAAAAGTTCATCCATAAAATTGCTCATTAAGGGTGGCACAAAAAAACAATCGTAATAGTTTTTGTGCGACAGAATGGCGCTGTTACAGCACTTCTGTTAGAATATTTAATTTGGCTTCGGATTAGCTCCCTCTGCACTTTAGTCAGCATTAGGCGAATATACTTTGAGACATAAAAACAACAAAAAATATACGTATATATATTATCTCCCAAGTTTTTGTGACATGCGACGGCTTTGGCTTATTAGTTTGACAGACTCGAGCCCTTTGGGCCAGCATGCTGCTATTTTTTTTTTTTTTTTTTTTTTTTTTTTTTTCTTTCGCTATGCTGGAAGCATCATTTTTCATTAAGTATTCGCAGCGTATTGCAGAACTTCGTTATGTAGACATATAATATATATTTTATTGGCAATTGTTTTACTCTACGTATGTGTGTGTGTGTGTGTGGGTGTGTTATATAAATTCCTAGCTATAAATAACACTCCTTTTTAGCAGGCAGAAAAAAAGTGGCCTTGCTCAATGAGCTGACAAAGTGGCTTTGGGTTGCCATAACTTAATCGCAGAAGTAGCCACGTTTCTGACTGAAAAAAAAAACCTTCATCAACAGCAGTTCGTCAGCAAATTCAGCATTCAGTTTGGGTGCGCCATGAAATGATATAAAAAGGAGAGAAAATTTGCATAACAAACTGCGCTGTCTGCGTGGCTGTGCGTCTCTGTGGCTATCCTGTGGCTGTTTGCGATTTCGAGAGCTAATCCAACCAGTGTCCGACCCATTTTCTGCTGGTGCAACCTAAGCCCCATGTGTCAGCTTCAATGTTGGCGAAAATAATTAAAAATTTAAATTCTGTAGCCGCAAATATGTCGACATTTCCGAAAGCCACATTCCCCTCTGTGAAATGTAATAAAACCCTGGAGATGAATAGAATCGAGAACATTCGACAAAGTTGAGCCAATCTCAGTTGGCTTTGCGTTAACTTTAAATACTTCAAATCAATAAACGAAACATTAGTCACTCACATATTCATCAACAACAAGCAAACATATTCTATATTTACAATAACATAAACAATGGAATTCGGTATTTGGACTCCCACATCTCTATCGGACATCGAAGAGGAGGACATGGAGTATATTGTAGAGAAAATACTGGACCGTCGCATACACTTGGGGGAATTGGAATATTTTGTAAAGTGGCAAAATTTTCCAGATGAGGATAATACCTGGGAGCTATCAAAATTTTTAGACTGCCACTCATTGATAGCTCAATTTGAGTCTCAACGGGCCAAGAAGAACCTCAAGCGTCAAGCTGAGATCAAGATAAATGAGATTTACGTCGACAAAGCAAAAAAACTCAAGATTGAGCCATCTTTAATAATGGACAATGCTTTCGATTATG